GGATAGCATAGTGACTATAATTAATAATACTGTGTTGTGTACTTGGAATTTTCTAAGAGACTAGGCCGTAAGTGTTCTCACCACACATAAAAAGGAGTGACTATTTGAGGTGATAAATATGCTAACTAGCTTGATTATGTTGATCATTTCACAATATGTACCTATATCAAAATTTATTATACCCACCTTCAATATACACAACTTTTACACATCAATGTACCTCAATAAAAGCTTACAGATTTTTTTTAAATAAAAAGAAGGGTCCACTGGGTATTCAGAACTAGACTAATTGCTTTAAGCCAGCATGTTGAACAAATTTTTTTAATGTTTATTTGTTTTTGAGAGAGAGAGACAGAGTATGAGCAAGGGAGGGGCAGAGAGAGAGAAGGAGACACAGAATACGAAGCAGGCTCCAGGTACTGAGCCCACAGAGCCCAACACGGGCCTTGAACTCACAAACTGTGAGATCATGACCTGAGCTGAAGTCAGACACTTAACCAACTGAGTCACCCAAGCACCCCTAAAAATTTATTTCTACTCTCTCTATGCTTCTGGTGCTACTCTTGAGTAATCCTCGGTGAGTCAAACAATCTCTTTCTTTTTGCTTTTTACTTCAGGTATATGTTGTATTTCTAGATATTCTACTTGGTACTTTTTCAATATTCTGGTGATTTTTTTTTATTTTTTTAGATTTTATTTTTAAGTAATCTCTACACCCGACATGGGGCTTGAACTCACAACCTCAAGATCAAGAGTCATACTTTCTACCAACTGAGCCAGCCAGGTGCCTCTTAAATTCTTCTGCTTCCCAGTCCCTAACAAAATCTATAGTAGTGATGGGCAGCAGCTGGAATAAGATTGGAAAGAGCCAAAACTCTGAGAGAAGTGAAATCTTCCTCTGTTGGGTCAGCTGTAATTCTTTTTTTTATTTCTTATTTTTTCACGTTTATTCATTTTTGAGAGACAGAGCACAAGTGGTGGTGGGGTAGAGAGAGGGGGAGACACAGAATCTGAAGCAGGCTCCAGGTTCTGAGCTGTCAACACAGAGCCCGATGTAGGGCTTGAGCCCAAGAGCGATGATATCATGACCTGAGCCAAAGTCGGACCCTTCACTGACCGAGCCATCCAGGGGGTCAACTGTAATTCTAAGAGAGTCGGTGGACCCCTGTTGTCCTTGTTTCTCTTTTCTCTCTTTGGTTTGTTCTCCGCCACTTGGCTCTGGATATGGAGCTGAAGTTGTGGAAGGGCCTGGCAATGCAGGGTAAACAAAGCCTAAGTTGTTTGGAGACTTGGGGAAAACAGAAGGCACTGGGGAGATCACCAAGGGAAGGAGTTGATAAAGCAAACACATACAGTTGTTTATGTATTCCTGGGTTCACCTCCAAGCTGTGCATGCTGACATGCATCGAGAAATGAACAGATACACCATGACCTAGGTCCCAGACTAGTCACTTGGTGGTGCCTATGCAAGGAGGCACTAAATGAACTGCAAACAGAGGCTTTGAAAAGCTAAACTGACATTGGAACACAACCCACCCAAGACAGATTGAACTTTTCAGCCTGAACCTAATCATTTAAACTACTTTTCAAAACACAATATCAACCTTCTCCATTCGGTGTAAGCAAGACCTAGAGTCTTGTAAGTTTCATAATGTCCAGGATATAATCCAAAATTATGTAGCCTATGAAGGAAAAGGAAAACATCAACTCCTATGGCAAAATATCAACCTATGGCAAAAAGCTACCAACAGACTCCAGTTTTGAGATGAAATAAATGTTGGAATTATCTTTCAAAGATGTTAAAGCAACTATTATAACAATTCTTTTTTTATTATATTTATTTTTGTGAGAGAGAGAGAGACAGAGAGACAGAGTGTGAGCTGGGGAGGGGCAGAGAGAAGGAGACACAGAACCTGAAGCAGGCTCTAGGCTGTGAGCTGTTAACACAGAGTCTGACACAGGGCTCGAACTCACAAACTGTGAGGTCATGACCTGAGCCGGAGTTGGATGCTTAACCAACTGAGCCACCCAGGTGCCCATATAACAATTCTGAAGCAAGTTATCATGAACACCCTTGAAACTGATGGAAAAATAGAATGTCTTGGCAAAGAAACAGAAGACATAAAGAAGAAGGAAAAGGAAATTTGGTAAGAACATAACAACTGAAATTAAACACTCACTGGATGGGCTTGATATCAGAATGCACATGACAGAAAGAGGAGCAGTGACCTTGAAGACTGACCCATGGAAATTATCTAATTTGAACAACAGCAACAAAAAATATACTTGAAAAAGATACACAGAGCCTCAGGAACAATAACCAAAGTCCTGACATCTGTCACAGTCATGGAAAGAGAAGAGAATGGTACAAGGCTGAAAAAACATTTGAGGAAATAATGACTTGAAATTTCCAAGTATGTTGGAAGACACAAGCCTATAGACTCAAAAAGCTTGTGATGAACATGTAAGATTGACTCAGCAGCTTGTAAATATGCACTACACTATTATTGACTATAATCAACATGCTGTACATTAGAGCAGGTCACTGTTTGCCACAGTCAATGCCACTGTGTGGCTGCTACTGTTTTTATTTCCTGTTAGTAGTTGTCTCTATATGTTTCAGCTTAGTTGGTCTGTGTGGGGTGAAACAGAAGCCCACCCTTTGTGTGATACCCCAGAAAGCTGGTGGGGCACTGACCCACCCTGCTCTCTCCTTCCATGGTGAGGGGACTTTAATGGGAGACTTCCCTTTGGCATGGAGCATGCAGGGATGGGATGATGCAGGCGAATGTAGCTGCCCTTTCTTCTCTTCCTATGCAATTATTCTCAGGTGTATGTTCCATTTTGCTGAAGTTTCTATGTGGACTCCAGAGCTTGCCCAATTCCACCTGTGTAATTGTTGATCTTTGTTGTGGGACAGAGGCTGGGGTCTCATATGTTGTCATTTGGTGAACAAGCCTCTGTATGCATATGTTTTGAAATGTCATATTTTCATTTTTGGTTCAAAATATTTTCTATTTTCTATCATGATTTCATTTTGACCCATGATCCCTCAGAATTGCTTTGCTTAATTTTTAATCCTATGTAAAATCTTTCTAGCCATTTTACTTTATTTATTTCTAGCTTAATTCCACCGTGGTCAGTTTGATTTCAATTTCTTGACATTTGTTGAGAATTTTTTTAAAAAAAATGTTCCATTTGCTCTTGTTAAGAATGTATGTTCCACAGTAATTCTGAATTCTTTTTGATAGACATTAGTCACTTATTATTTGTGTTGTTCAAATCTTTTAGATCCTTACTGGGTTTGCTGTATTTTGTTTTGTTTTTTCTTCCTATTCTATAAGTTACTGGGAAGTATGTTCAAATTGTCTCTTGGTCCATAATGCTTCTGGCAATGGCAGACCAGTTTACTTGGGACCTTGAGATCCTTCCAGGAAAGCAAAATACGATTCCTTGAGGATTGTCCAGCAACATTTTGGATACAAATCACCTCCCACTTCTGCTTTCAGAGTAGGTTAGCTCTGGGCTTTGAAGTGAGACACCCACAAGCAAAAGCTCATCATGTTCCTTAACGCACCTGCAGGTTAAGAGTGTCCTATTGCTTGGTGGCTCCAGAGTTTTTCTCAACCTCTTTTTTATGCTAATTTCCTAGCAGGAAACAGTTCACTGGTTTTGTCCTAAGGCAATCACCCCCTCCTAGTCCAGAAGAAAACTACAGACCTGTCCTCCTCCATCCATCTCAGCTAATACTCTTTCTGCAAAGCACCCCTCCCACCCCTATTCCCTACTAGAACCCCTATTTAAGTATATTTCTGGCCCTTAACTTGTATGTATTTCAGGAAATTGGCACAGGGGCTTTTAGACAATGAAGTCTACATATCTATTTGTAATAACCTGCTGAGTGGACTATGGTAGTTTCAGCTACCTGTCTGTGTCTGTTCGTTTTCCTTTGTTAATTTTAGCAAACAATACTTGTGCTCTGCAGGCTTTATGGGTATAACAACAGGGACCCAAAAGGAAAAGTAGGCAAATTAGAATATGCGAGGGTCATAGAGCTTAATACCAAATTGATAATCCAACCTTGTCTGCAACTTCATCTGTTGGTGTTGGGACAGTAGAAGGTAGGATATCAGCCTTTTATTTCCTTCAAGTTCTCATTCTTTTTCCCCCAGTCTGTATTTAATTCCATCATGGAGGAAAACTAACTTTCCTTCTGAGCTATCCCAATTCCTCTCTATCCCTCAAGGACCAAGCAACTCTTCTTCCAGAAAAATGATACCATGACACGGACATGTAGCAACCCCTCTATATTTATAACTTAAGGCACTGTCTCATTCATCCCTTCTTGCCTTTTCCCATCCTGGTTTCTGTTTGCTTGGATCATAAGACTTAACTCTTCTTTGGACTATCTGCCAAAAGATAGAGTTAGCCACACCTGCACTCATGAGGAGTGGCCCTTGCCACAGCCTGAGCACAGTGTAGGCTCTATAACCCTCTAAAGCTTGCCTATTCTTTCTAGGAGTATTTATATTTGAAAAAATTCCTCCAGATTCCAAGTGACTGAGTAAATAATGATAACAAAAGAGGCATTGTCTGAGAGGACAGCTTGGAGAGGTCAATGGCATTTCTTTCCAATTGCAGACCATGGGTGCTGCCACCTTTAAGGAAGATTGTACTTCCCTGGATTAGTTAAAAGGGAGGCCACTTGTGGGAACCTGCTAGAATCACAGGCCAGAAATAAGAAAAGAAAGGCTGCACCAAGGTATGGGGAACCCAGAGAGATGGTGTTTCCTGTAACCGTAAGAACATCCCACACATAAGCAGTTTTCCCCAGGTATGTTAGTCAGTGAACCAAGAGAGTCCAGGAGTCTTGGCTAAGAAGAACAAACTTCCAAACGTTAAGAAATCAGGGAAATGCACTGGGAGACAGGGTTTGGGGGCTTAGGGAAAGGTGGAGACAGTGAATGGTCCTGGGATTATAGAAGAAGAGACAGAGCTTCTGAATTACTTCCACAGTTTATTTGTCAAGGAATTGAGATTGATAATATAATGGTTCAGGGAAGAGGGCTGTCAGGTAGGAGACATTGCCCTGGGACCGCTCTTCCTCCCTCCCCCTACTTTCCATCTGGGACAAGATGATGGTCCCACTGGACATCAAGTAGTATTATTCTGATGCCCCATATCCATTTATTAACCAGTCAGGGTGGTGGTCATGGAAAAAGTAAACCCTGGCGTGGTGGTGGTGGTGACGGGTGTATAGTCCTCAGTGTCAGCCTCTGGAAGAGAGAATGGGTAGGTATTCAGTGGCCACACAGTCTGGTGAAAAACATTTCTTTAAGTATAACAGATCCTCCCAAACTCTGGTGGTAGGCATATTTTCTGTGATTTAGGATATTCGCACACCACGCTTCTCTCAAGATGTTTTTTGTTTGCTTGTTTGCTTTAAGCAAGCCTCATGCTCAGCACAGAGCCCTGTGTGGGTCTTGAACTCACGACCCTGAGATCAAGACCTGAGATGAGATTAAAAGTTAGATGTGTAAACAAATGAGCTACCCAGGCACACTATAGATGTTTTAAGCCCAATGAGTAAAGACACATAAATGTCAGACCGATGGGGTTTGGATAAATCAGGTAGGCCTGCAAGTGACTTGGAATGGAGGGAGGACAGGGATTGGGGATGGGAGGAAGGGGTGGGGTACCTCAAGTTGGACTGGGTACCAGGACTAGGAAGACATATTCTGTCTGTCCCCTAAGTAGGGAGTCCACGGTCTTAAAAACCAAATGGCAAGAGAGGGGTGCTTCTGAGGTCCTACCATGTTTTCTGACGTTCATGCAGATAGGACCACAGAGAGAATAGCAGCATTCGTAGCCCACACCGCATTGCCAGGCATACTTGCACCTTCTGCCGCACTCGTAGTTACTGGGAAGCCTCGGGCAGTGTCTCGGTTTCAGTTCTACTATAACTGAGAAGGAGCACATGAGCAGCGGCTCCAAGAAGATGACTTTTTCTCACTATTATCCACCCCTTTAAAGCCACAGGACTCACTCCATTGGTTTTTCGTCTTCTTCTCTGTGTCCAGGGATCTGGGTGGGCTTTTTTGTTCCTGGAGTCAAAATCCAGCTCCCACCCCTAACAAATCCAGCAACCATAAAATCACCTGCATGCAACTTAACATCACAGGACCTGAGTCCTGAAACCCAATTCCCAGAACAAAGAGTCCCAAGAGATCCTCTTGTCTCTTGCCCTCATTTACAGGGTAGGGGAATGGATCACAGAGAAGAGGAAGAACTGTCTTGTACTTTTCCCTGTCTCACTGAGACAGCCCTCCAAACCTAGCTGCTCCCCGGAAACCTCTGCCACCAGTTATGGACCCACAACTCCCCCCTCAATTCTGCTGATTTTAATTTTTTACCCCAGTGATTCCAAACTTCTCTTGGTCAAGCACACATTTAACTTCTCCTCTACATGCCCAATCGTCTAAAATACCCAATTCCCTTGACAAAGGGCATATTTCAAGAAATAATTAGTACCCCATTCCCAATTTGGTGCTCATGCTTGGAACTCCTAACTGGAGTCACAAACTCCTAGTGGCTCAGTCTAAGCACCTTCCACCTGGGTTTTGAAACCTGTGGAGGTTTCCACTGCTAAGATCCTCTTTAAAAAAAAAATGCCACGTAGCCACCACTGTCCCCACAACACACATAAAAACATCATTACTTGTAACATCAGGAGACCCTCAAACTTGAGAAGTGCACATTCAACTTTCCTCATATCCTGCTTTAAAAAGGAACCAATGCTTTTATATATGCCAGTCAGTCCCTTTGTTCCTTTTGTTTTATACCCCTTCTTCATTTTGAAGCTCAACCAGAATACCTACCTGAATAAGGAGACTGAGTCTCAGATTTTTCTCTCAGCGTTCCTGCCACTGACATGATGATCAAAACACAATACAGTGTGAACATCTGGAGAAACAACCCCTTCATGATGTGAACTCGGGATGTCTGAGTGTGAGCCTGGCAGGAGACCCAGGATTTCACCAGGTCCTGCTGGGGGTAGCGAAGGGCTTTGGGGTGTGGAAAACACGTGACTGGTCTCTCACTGCCCCCTCTGGTTCTGCCTCCTCTCCTCCACGCACCACTCCTTGGCACGGGTGTCTCCTGAGCTACTTGCCTTCTCCTTATGCTTTCTCCTCCTCTCATTGCAGAAATGAATTCTTCATAGCATTATCATTTATTTTAAAAATTGAAAAACAGTGCAAAGTACAAAGAAAAGTATTAAGATATGATCAGCTATCTATTAGCTAGATAGATAATAGTCATCTAGCTTATCATGACAGATAGCTTTAGAGTTTATCTCTCAATAAAAAAAAAATCATACATATTTCTCATATTAGTATTTCACTGCAGTTTAAAAGCCATTTAAACTATGTGGCAACGAGAAAGAATGAAATCTGGCCTTTTGTAGCAACATGGATGGAACTGGAGAGTGTTATGCTAAGTGAAATAAGTCATACAGAGAAAGACAGATATCATATGTTTTCACTCTTATGTGGATCCTGATAAACTTAACAGAAGACCATGGGGCAGGGGAAGGAAAAAAAAAAGAGGTTAGAGAGGGAGGGAGCCAAAACATAAGAGACTCTTAAAAATTGAGAACAAACTGAGGGTTGATGGGGGGTGGGAGGGAGGGGAGGGTGGGTGATGGGCACTGAGGAGGGCACCTGTTGGGATGAGCACTGGGGTGTTGTATGGAAACCAATTTGACAATAAATTTCATATTTAAAAAATAAATAAATAAAAGGACTGAAAAAAAAAGCCATTTAAGAACATAAGCACATGGAAATGCCTTGGAGGCTCAGTTGGTTAAGCGTCCCACTCATGATTTCAGCTCAGGTCATGATCTCAGGGTTGTGAGATTGAGCTGGGAGTCAGTCCCCACCCTGGGCATGGAGCCACTTAATATCATCTCTCTCTCCCTCCCCCTCCCCCTGCCCCACCCCCCTCCATAAAAATTATAACAAAAACAAATCAGTCAATATTAGTAAAAAATTTTGTTTTAATCTCAAGACTTATAAATTGATCACAAAATTTGAAGTGGAACAAAAGTTTTCCTATATTCGGGGAATATTTCCTGTCTTTCATAAAAATTAGGTCCTAATGATACCAGCATATTTCCTATTTAAAGCATAATTAATTTACAATTTTTGTAGATGCACTAGCTTTCTATCACTCGATTCCATTACAGTGATTTTGGGGAGCGAGAGCAGCAAGATGGCTAATAAGAGCCCCCTGCTTGAATCCTCCCTCTACAACCATTTGGCATCCACCCACACACAAAAGTACCTCCGTGGAAGCTTCAGGATCCAGCTCCTTGCACCAGGGGACCTGGGAGGAATATCCCCCATGCGTTTGGTCATAGGCATAGAGACCTCAGTCTTGTTACCAGGGACTCTGAAGTGGCCTGTGGACTGGCTGTATTTCCTCCTCAGCCACAGTCCAGGAGCCAGGGGAGAAGCCTCATTTAGACCATCACCCACACATGACAAGCTTTGTGGAAGTCCAGGCGTGAAACAGAGATGTCCCATCACACTGTTGGAGAGAAAAAGCAATCCAAGTGTGGACACATTGGAGAGGTTAAAAGTCACAGTTTGACTTTACCTGCATCACATCCATCCAGGTTTTTTAAAAAAATCCTCTAAGGAATTGTGCCTGCAAGAATGTTGACATGTCCTCCGTGAACCCAGGCAAGAGGAAGTATATATAGTCCCTGCGGCACACTTCTGCCTGCTCCACGCTCACATTATTGACACATATCGTGCATTATCGATTCATCTTCCGCACATTACTAAGTGAAGACATCGTCTACACAAATTAAACCTTACGAATGAGGTTGGCATGAGCCAAGGGGGACTGGAAAAGCCCACCATATCAGAAGAAAAGTTGCTAAGTGTTCAGCATTTGAGAATGATGAGCACATAAAAGGCCACATGATTCTTCTGTGCACAAGAAACTAAATTATGAAAGCTTTGTAGGCTCTAGAAAGCTAGGTGAGTCACCGGAGCATGGCATGATATTTTTGAATGCTGGCAAAATGGCTTCAGTTCTCTTTCGGGTTCTTTGGCTAAATCAGCTCTATTTACATTCCTCACCCAGCCCCGCCCAAACTCTCAGGAATCCATACAAATCCTCCAGGCAGTTTGGGTTTATCCTTTCTAATGGATTAAGATACTTACTAGTTAAGCCATTGCTTTCCAGCTTCCAGTTTCTTGAAAATGCTTATTTCCCATTTCCTCTCCTATCCTCTTCAACCTTGCATATTAGGGCGAGTTTTTTTCTTTTATGTCATTCCAGTGAGGTTTTAAGTGTAAGCAGAGAGAAAAAGGATAAAGGTCCCTCTAAATATGCCTGTGTCTTAGTTCCAAGAACCGGAACTAGCTGACCTGGAGTGGTGAAGGGGCTTTGCAAACGAGATGAAGGGTAGTGACCTTGAGATGGGGAGGCTGGTGGGTCCAGTGTGACCATGAGTGGATGAAAGCACGGATGTTTCCTGACTGCAGTGGGTTAGAGACCCACAGAATAAGGTGAGATGTGAAGCATGAGGACCCAGTTGGCCTTTGCTGGCTCTGCAGATGGAAGAATGCGGCCCACGCCAAGGAATGTGAGTGGCCTCTAGAAGCTGAAAACAGCCCTCAGCTGACAGCTGGCAAGGGAATGGAGACCTCAGGCTCATAACATCAAGGACCTGAATTCTGCCGACAATCTGAATGGACACAGTCTTGGGTCCTTCCGTCTAGAAAGGAAACGCAAAAAGTAGCACTGCCCTGCTGACATCTTGATTGTAATTGGAAGAGACCCGTGTGGCACTTGTGACCTACAGAGCTGTAAGGTAATAAATTGTGTGGTTTAAGCCCCTAAATTCATGACTTCTTACAGCAGCAACAGGAAACAGATATTCATATTCAAATACCCTGTTTAACTGGCAGACCCAATTTTGTGTTGGGATATCCAGCCTATCTGGATGTTTCTGTTTCTATCCTAACCCGCTCCTCCAGCGTTCACCTTGCCCTCCAAGTGTTTATACATTCACAGTGGATGAGAGCCCTTCTTACATATTTACCTTTATTCCTAATTCTGAGGTTGTGGAATGAACTCCACCCTCGTGAGAGCCAAAGCAGAAGCTTTGTCATCTCAAACACAAGACAAACACGGAGAAACAACTTTTCTCTCTCAATGACCAGTAATGGCTTTCAAAATACTCCAGCCCTCAGATTCATGAGCGTGACTCTGTACTTGCTGGTTAATTTTGTGACCTCTTTTCCTGGGGAAACAAACCTCACCTGCATGTTCTGGTTTCATGGTCAAAGGGCTTGATGGAAAAACAAGGAACTGCGGAGGAAGAAAAATTGCGACTCGGTTAATATTTTTCAAAATGCTGCACCACAGCACCATTTTATTATTAAGGCCACAAAGTCTTTCCTCGTCCAGTTTTGAGCAACACAGCATTCCATTTTCCTCTAGTTTGGCTATGGTTCGAATGTTCTTACTTGGATTTGACATTTGAAGTAACTGTCTGAATTTTATTCTTGGGGGAGGGGGGTGTTTCATATCTTGCTTAGTCCTTGTGGGTCATGAGGTGATCTTGGAAGTGGAAACTTCATGTCAAGGACAATGGAGCAAAGAGGTGAAGCGGCCTGGATCTTCTATGGTCTGTGGTGTCCCTACACTGGTTCGGGACAACTAATCCTCAGTCTTCCGCATGAACAAATATTGACCCGTCCTACTTTAAGCCGCTACTTTCTTTGTTGTTGCTGTCATCATGCATTCGAAAGGAATCCGAACTGAAACACCAGCCGAAGTGCATATTAATGGAGAATGGTGGCTTAAGAAGTCTCTATTTTTTTTATTTCTCACGTGCTCTCTCACGAAGGCTGGTGAGTTGTATGTTACCAAAATGAGGTCGTTAAGAAAGAGGGAGGGGTCGGATCTAGGAACTGGGTGCTCTGATCTTGGAGGAACTGAAGTGCCACCGTGCTGGTGAAGAGAAGTCCCCAGGGCTGCTGTGTATGGCCCTGGAGCACAGCATGCTGGTGCAGAGGCTGAAGACTTTCGGAGTTTCCACGGAGGAAAAGCAGCTACTTCCAGGATGCTGAGGATGAGTGGCTTCAGCTGCGGGTGCATTCTTGGGCTCTACCCTTGTACCGCCCGATGTGCCCCCATTCTGTCCCAAGTAGAAAGAGGAAAAGGTGACAAAAAGTGTACAGTTCTGGTATTCTGGTTGTCAAGGAGCTAACTGTCCCCCTTAAAAGGATTTCCTTTTTGGAATGCCCCAGATGAACTGAATCCAATTCCTTCCAGTAGTCAAAGGGAGGAAAATAGGAGATGAAAGCCAAAGCTCCAAATGTAAGCAACTGCTCGCCTGGGGCAACACATCTTCTCTCCCTTCCACCTCTCCACGACTCAGGATTGCATTAAGCAATCTCTTGCAAAAAGGTAACTTCTATTCAGTTTTCAGAGCTTCACCTGTGTCTGCTGTTTCTTAAAAATAACCTGTTTAAAATAATGAGTATGCCATAGAGGCAGATCTTTCAGTTGGCAAAATTCTCTCCCCTTCGTAAGAGACGTTTACACGCGTGAGGGAAGTCTCCATTTGTAAGCCTGTCCTCCTCTCTGGATGTGGAAGAGAAGGATGACTTTCAGCCCCTAGAAAGTCTTTATCAAGGGAGCCTGCAGCAGAAATCTGCATAACGACCATGCCTTGGTCCACTGTGCCTTTCCTGGTGACTTCCCATAACGGGCCTTCCCTTCCCTTTCCACATCTTTTGTCTTCAGCTGAAGATGTCATTGGAGGAGATGGCTTGGGCCACTTGGGGGAGTTCCTAAGTTTTCCTGGTCTCTCCCAGGTATACTGGAGGTATCCATGTTGGGAAACTTCAGTTTGTTTTTCTCCTGCTAATCTGTCTTTGATTGCAGTGGCAGGGTGGGTTGTGGGGGGGGGTCTCAGACAAGAACCCAGAAGGGGAGACGAAAAGGCACTTTTTCTCCCTATACTATCCTGGATACCCAAGAGGACAATACCTTCTTCCTTCCCTCATCCTTCTGTTGGGTGTCCCTAACCTCTTGTTTTTCTTGACTTCTTTTGTCATGAAGGAATAACCACTTTCACTCAATCGAGCTCCAGGTCACCCTTATCCCTGAACGTCAAGACGAAGACCCACTCCTGAAGGATGTTTGCCTGAGCCGCTGAGTCCTTGTGCCTCTTCCTTACTCTGAGCTCTAAGGCACTAACCAGTGTTCTGTTAGGTCTTAATCCTTGCTGGCCTCGGTCTTTGCTGTATCACATCGTGGAACCTTTCCTTGGGCTCCACCGCTGGTAAGTGTGATCTGCTGACTCAGCCCCTTTAAATGAATATATACTGTCCTCTGGATCAGGAAGAGGCACGGATATGCATACATCCTAGGGACTTTATCATCCCCTCATCCAAGGGAAGTTATATCTCTAAATGATCTTCAAGGGGAGCTTGGACGGCTCAGTCGTTTAAGCGTCCGACTCTTGATTTGGCTCAGGTCATGAGTTTGTGGTTCGTGAGATCGAGCCCTGCCTTGGGCTCTGTGCTGGCAATGGGGAGCCTGCTTGGAATTGACTCTCTCTCTCTCTCTCTCTCTCTCTCTCTCTCTCTCTGTCCCTCTCCGACCCTGAAATAAATAAACATTAAAATGGTCTTCAAGACACTAATGGCAGAATATAATATGACATATATTATATTCGAATTTAATCTAAGGGAACGCTATGGGCCGGAAGCCTGCCTGGCCTTACCAGACATGTCAGGATATGACTCATATTACCCACGTAAAACTACCATGCAGACACAACAGGCAGGAATAAGAGGATATAAGGAGGCAGAAGGAAGGACGATTCTGGAAGCTGAGTGCCCGCCTTGAGGGCAGGACCACCTACTCTAATGAGAGGAGCCACCAGCTTTCCAGGGGGCGCTTGTTCCATTTTGCAGTGACGTGGAGGCCAAGGTCTTGGGTCTTGCTTGAGGAGTTTGGTTTTGCCTAAGCAGACAGGTCAGAGACCACCCTGTGTTCACCAACTCCTGCTTTCTGTTCTCCTTGGGCATACAGCGAGACTATATTTCCCAGTCTCCTTTGCAAATAAGGGACCACGTGACCACATTATGGCAAATAGCATGTGGATGGAGCAGAGCTCCACTTCTAGGCCTGGCTCTTAAAAACCTTCTGCAGGAGCTTCCATGCAACCTTCTCCCATCTGTTGGCTGGATGCAGAGGAGGCTCTGGGAGATGATGGAGTTATAGATAGATGTATGGTGCTTGAATCATGCATGGCATGGGGGTGTTCGCCAACCACCCGCAGTGAAATCTATTGTGAATGAGAATAAGCTTTAATTGTGTTTGACATTTTTCTAAATCTCTGCATTGTCGCTACAGCCGTGAGTCTACTGAATAACTGGGAAGGCAGACTAACTGGGTTGTCTATAACCCGTAGTGGGGTGGGAAGAACAGTTCGATCACTGTGAAGAGACAAATGGAACCACAGGAATGGAGTATAACACACTGCAGAGCCCTCGGGTTGGTTGTCAGTTTATTTGGCTGAGACTTGAAACTTCCCAGGACAGAGAGATCAAGGGGAGAATAGAATGGTCCTCAGCCAGGGCAAGGGAATAACTCAACAGGTAGCCAGGCAGCACTCTTCTTAGACTACGTAGGCATCCTCTAGCCCACGTCAGTGGTGGGGCAGCTAGAGCCTAGAGGTTTAGCATGGATTTAAAGGGTTCTCTGGAAGAGAAAAGTCAGGTGGTTAAAAGTCAGGGAACACCCATTCCCAAACTTAACAACACCCCTGGCCCTGGTTAATGGGAAAAGGAATGTGCTCTGTAATTCAGGGGTTACCCACTTTTAAGCAATTTCTCCCAAGAAGTTTGCCAATTCATCACACAGGTGGAGACTGGGCCTCGTGGGCCTGCCTGAGACAAGGGGCCCACACAGAGGCCAGACTAAGGAGTCCATAATCGGGGCCTTGGACAAAGGAGGGATGAATAACTGATGGGTGACCTTTTGGGGGAACTGAATGAGAAGGGAGAAAAGTGGAGCCCCCCGTGTTTGTGTCTTGATTTATTTTGCCCTGAATGTCAGCCTAGGTACAGAGATAGTAGGGCATTGACTTATGCTGCCGGTTTCTTTGTCCGGGATTTGGGTGACTTCCGTTCCAGGTCCCACCTTCTGAATGAGGGTGACCAGTAGTGAGGAAGCATATCTAGGCCCGACCTTGCCACTGCAAACAACTCACTCATTGTCCAAGCAGACGTTTCCACAGAAGGTCCAGCAGCACGTATGATTGGGAGATAAACACTCCTGTAACCTAGTGCACCTCTTCTCACAGTACTGTAACAGAGGCTGTATCCAGCACTGCTCGACCACTGTTCTTCCAACTGAAACTGAGACGATAGATGTTGGCAGATCCACCCACCCACAACTTAGAGAAGAAACCCTTCTCAAGCTTAACTATCCCCAAGCTCTGGAACCTGAGCTTGAAGTCACAAACAAAACATTTCTCTGCGTTTTAAGAAAATCCTTTTCTTGAGTTCTAGTTGTGTCTGTTCACAGGAGACCATTCTTGCGTGCCATGCCTTCCCTCTCTCCCCACATCCCTACAGCACTGCCGGCATTCGGGTCCTCCCCAAGCTCCCTAAAGATAGGACCCAGGACAACCTCATCATCTAATGGCACCACTTCACCAAGTCTATTCTCATGGGACGTTGGATTTCAGGACCTGCAATATACTGTAGCTCCAATTTCCACACCCAGTTTGTAGAATGGAAGACTGAGCTGGGGGAGAATAGGCACCTATAATTCCTCTTGTCTATTTGCTTCCTTGCTGGTACCACCTAAGCACTCAGCCTCTCCCCAGATTCCCAGTGCCCTCCTTTTACTATCCCCATTTTATCCTCTGACCCCAAACTCAGACTCTAAGGATCCCTTATTAGTTTTTTCCAGTTTTCATATTCCAAGGAAATAATATTGCCCTTTTGGTATTCATCAAAGGCACAGAGATTCCGGAAAGAAGGGCTCAGAGGGAAGCTCTGTGTTGGTGCTTCCCCTACCTAAGGTAGTTTACCTTTGTCAAATATCATTTCCCACAAGCTTATGGAATGGACTTATGGACTGAACTATGTTCCCTTTCCATATACCCATGATTGTTGCTTTCAGAGATGAGAGGGGGAGCATGGAGGGGCACTTGATTGGCAACATCCAACCAAAATCTTTCTTGGGTGTCTCAGCTCTAAGGAGGGTTGGGATCCGGGAAAGGTGGTCCCTGAATCAGCTACACCAGACATCCCGGGCCTGGGCAGAGGCCCCTCCTCCCTCGCCATACCACCTACAAAATGTCTTGTTCCTGAGGCCTCCCAGCACAGGCAGAGGCATCACAACCCCATAGATGATCACGTTGAGTAGGAGAATCCAGGGCTTCATGGTGGTAGTCTCTATGCGTGTTTGGGTTAAGTTCTGGTCTTCTCCCAATGCTGCCAGAGGTACAACAGGAATTAAGGAGAGTAGGATCAGAAAGAGAGAGAACATGCTTATGAATATTGGGTTATTCTTTCTCCTACTGTCCCTTTACACCCTCTGTCACCCAACAACATGTCAAACTAGCCATTGGCTTCCCAAGGCTACTTCCCCATCTCACATTACAGCCACTTCCTTTGCAAAATTTTTTCGTTTAAAAGTGCATTGCGAGAAAGAATGAAGTCTGGCCATTTGTAGCAACATGGATGGAACTAGAGGGCATTATGCTAAGTGAAATAAGTCAGGCAGAGAAAGACAGATACTATATGTTTTCACTCATATGTGGATCCTGAGAAACTTAACAGAAGACCATGGGGAAGGAAGGGGAAGGGGGAAAAAAGTTACAGAGAGGGAGGGAGGCAAACTATAAGAGGCTCTTAAGTACTGAGAACAAACTGAGGGTTGTTGGGGGGTGGGGGAGAGGGCAAAGTGGGTGATGGGCATTGAGGAGGGCACCTGTTGGGATGAGCACTGGGCGCTGTACGGAAACCAATTCAACAATAAATTATATTTAATAAAAAATAAAAATGCATTGCGTTTTCTGATTAAAAATCGATAAATCTTCAGTTTGTATAACTAGTCAAACAACAAAAAATATAAGAAGGAAATAGATAGGCATTCGTAATTGCACCACCCAGAGATAACCAGTGCTGTATGTGTATCCTTTTTGTTGCCCTCAATATTTTTATGAACCTGGATAATAGAACCCACCAAGTGTCCTGAATATATTTTTTTTTTTTTACTTCAGAACATATGTAATAGGATAGTATAATGGAAGTGTTAGTCTAGACGCTATGACAGAGTACCAGAGTGAACTCAAAATGAGTTACGAGAGATGGGTTACTCAGTAGGACTTGAGAAAGTTGACAGCCAAGAACGGGTCAGGGACCTCTTAAACGTTGATCTAATCAGATGACCCACAGTTAAAGGAGTTGTAGAGAGGCCTTCAACGATTTTATTGGCACAAAGCTCTGCTCGGGAAGCAGGGAAGCTGTCTTCTAATTCCAAGTTGAGAGAAAAGGCTTTGTGGATACTCCTCATAGAGCTTACTGTGTGTCCCAGAAGTTTGTAGGGACACCACAGATCTGAGTCATGATTGAAGGCTCTAAAGGGTGAGGGATCTGGCCAGAATGGCCTTTAGTAGCAGGGAAGAGGGCTGCAGTTGGGGCACATCTAAATTGTAAATGGCCAGATAGTGTTTTGTGTCTGCAGCGAACCCTTGGAATCTCCCGCGAAAAGGCGCCAGCAGCACAAAGCCAGCTTAGGATAGCATCTACTGTGTGAGAGCTGTCCTACTTCCTCCTGTTGGTTCTCCCTGCCTCTACTCTCTAGGAAGCAGAAAAGTTTTTTAGCCAGATGGGGGTGACAGAAGAGAATCACAAAGAGCCCAAGATGGAGATACCGATCACATCCTTTTCCACAACTGGAGCTTCTGAGGGAGGAACGAGTCCACAGTTCTCAACAATTGGTGGAGTTGTGGTTCGTTACATGGACCTGCACATTTAACTATTAGGTTGAGATGTTTTGTGACTGAGCAGTCACACAAAAGGTGGGGCTCCTGCCTACATCTTCCAGGAAGAGAAAAGAAACAACTAGCCATTCTGAATAAAGAACACACACAAGGGAGACAAAATAATCTGATCACATCACACAAGTCATGCCAACAAGCCAACTATAAATATCACGATCAATCCCCAGAGATGGTTAAGGAAATCGTTAAGGAAAAAAGAGTGAAGCAGAAGATGAAATAGCCTGCTGACAACTGGCAGCTGGGGGGTGGGGGGAAGATAATTACCAGTCAATCTTCCCAGTGCTCTACTGTCTGCCCCCTTTAACCTTTATCTTCTGCTTTGCCGTCCTGAAACCAGAAAGGAAGGAAAACAAAAGAGCCCAAGGAAAGATCAAAATTCTAATGTTATGATTGCATCGTCACAGGTAATGATTGTCCTTGTCCCTGAAAGTCTTTATATTTGCTCGGAAGTTTTCAACCAAGCAGAAGAGACTCCTCTGCCCTGTCCAGTATGGTGGCCCTTCCCATATGTGACTATTTTAAGTCAACTTGAAATCCAGCTTCCAGTCCTTTCAAGCGTTCCATAGCCACACGTAGCTAGTGGCTATTACATTGGGCAGCTCAAACATCAAACATTTCTATCATCACATAAAATGCTACTGAAAAACGCTGCTCTGGACGAATCAACCAAAATGCCTCTGCTCAAAAGCAGGTGTAAGTCATACAGATCATTTAAAAGGTGCGAAATGCTTCCAAGGGGCCTTTGGAAACTTACTCTCCTTTCAGAATAAGTGAAATTTAGAAGCCGGAAAAATGCAAGTTTTAGGCATGTGGATCTTTGGCATGCTGACTTTGAGCAGGTTGGATTTAGGAGACCTGAAGGGAAGAGGAGAGAAGGAGATTGTGGGGAGAAACAAAGGAGAGCAGCTTTAAATGTAAAAGATCAGATGCCGGGGGGGCTTCCACTCTTAGGTGCTTACATCTGCGCTCCCACATTCTCCATTCAGAAACTGTGTCCCTGCCAGCCTGCCTCAGCACGGCTTGATGAAGGAAAACTGCCAAGTGAAGGCACTGGGGCTCATTTGCCACGGGGCAGTGTTTACCAGAGGATGCAACCTGACTGGTGAAGCTCCAGGGCAAAGGCAAACTCTCTTCGAGCACGACAGGTTTCCAGAAATCCTATAAATCACTCACGTTGTTTGCACAAGCACGCCAGCTCAAGGTGGCAGGGTGTCCGATTCCTGAGCCTGGCTCAGACTGTTTCTGTGGTCCTCTGAGGGCATCGGCACACGGCAAGAGAGACACGCAACGCCGACGCTCCGTCCTCCACTTACAGGTGGGGATCTGAGGTAGGAGGTAGCTGGGTGAAGGTGAGCACGCACCGGGGTAGAGCTGGGGTCCTGGAAACTGCCTTTTGCACAAAGAAGGAGGAAGACTGGTGCACAGTAAATCCAAAGCCAGGGGTTCCATGCAGCTATTTATTTGTATCTAAAAATAGCACTCTCCACCTAAGTTGTCCAGAACTTTGAGATCTGTTCATTGACAAGGCCTTGCTCTTAGTCCAGTTTTCTGCGTTCCTTACTTGCCCTTAAAGGGTGTTGAGGATCCTGGGGGTGTCCTATCCCCTTCTCCGCACACCTCAGGTGCCCTCACTGAGCCAGAGAAGAGAAATAGAATCACGCCCAGGCTGGGCACTACTCACATAGAGAATTCTGGGCGACTCTTTGGGCATGTTTTGAGACAGAGTGTAGGGTGATGACAAGGCCCCTGGGCATCACGAAGACCCAGAACTACTGCTCCCCTCAGAATTCAGGGTCCTCGGCTTTCCAGACAATGTTTAAGAGGAGAAAGTGTCAGATTTAGTTAGAGTCAGCGATACGGGTGTCTTGTTTCACGTCTGCCCCTTTTATTTGTGTGACCTCAGACAGGTATGTCACCTCTCTCCCAATTTTCTTATTTGAACACCAGAGACAACAATCCCCATCTCACAGAAATGGTGTCGACACCACCTGGGCCGGGAACTCCTCCAAGAAGCCACAGATAAAACGTCATGCGTCAAGACCCTTACCCCCACCTACCTCTGAAGGTGTCTGAGGTGAGTGTCTGCAGTAACTGGCTGAAAGCTCTTTTATGTGACCACTCCCACCTGGGGAGCGGGAGGGGAGGTAGTGGCTTGGAATGGGGGGCAGAGGAGCAGAAAAACAAAGTTCAAAGGCCTGGAACTTAATGGTGATTGGGTTGTGGCAGATCTGTAAGTTCTACCCAGGAACTACACGGTGGCCGTATCACAGACTCTTTCCTCTGATATTCTCCCATTCCAAAGTATCGGATTTTCTTTGATGTGAGCAGCACCTCCTGTAAGCTGGGAGGAACGCTGTGTACCCGAGTCAGCTCTGGCCACCTAAGCAGACCCAAGTCTAGACTCTTTCTGTGGCGCATCTGATTCTACCCAAAGGCGGGGAGCGAAGGGCAGTTTGTACAACTATTTGCCTTGGACTTGCTTTGTGCTAATAAGGTCCCACCTCCTCTGTATTGATTCTCTTTTGCTATTTCAGGCATCACACTGTCTCCCACCAAATGCCCTGGGGGTCGTATGTGGATACAAAGAGACTGTGCGGGAAGGACTTTAGGAAAGACAGATGACCACCCAGCAAATGAGGGAAGGGAAGTGACGGAATCTATCACGAATCTTGGCAGTTTGTGAGGTGAGGGGTGGGGGGGGTCTGCTCACCAAATATCAGAGAGGAGCAGTATATTGGGCACTCGTACCCATGACTCGGAGCTGATTAGACAAAAGAGAAGAGTCAGGTGGGCAGGTCGGGCCAGGGCTCCCGAGGAGCAGACCTCCTTGTTGCAAACTCTGTCTCCAGGAATATTTCCTACACTGTCTGGAGACACCCATATACAAGCGACGTGCCCCAGGATGTGTCGGGTGCATCGAGCAGTGGGATTCCGGGGACTTGGCTGAGGAGGGTGGACTGTATAGAGACAAAGGGCAGAATTTGGGGACCTGGGTACAAATGTGTGGGAGCAAACTGAAGGGAACTTTGAGGGGGACTGCAAATGGTGCCAAACCTAAAGCTACTGAATTATGGATTCCCAAGTCCTTGCTTGCTATGGTAGGAAAACGATGTTGTGTACAGGGCAATCACAGCCCTGCCCTGGGTCTGGCCCAGATGCTAGGGGCCCTTCGGGGTCTGTTTGAGGAGCACCGTCGCTGAGAGTGCCAAGGAGCTTCCTCCCAGGATTCTTGCCACTCTTGGTTCCGGATCATGCAGATGGGTATGCAAAAAAGCTGTGTAGGATTTAAGAAAACAGCAGGCCCTGGCTGTCACTATCCGTATATTTTATACACACAGGCACACACACTCACGGTGGATATACACACACATATATAAACACACACA